TGAGAACGCAGGCCCAGTTCTTTGTCCAGGATGTTAGCACTGCCTCTGCATTGAAGAATGTCAACTACAAGATTCGTGATGATGAGAACCAAAAGGTGTGTGTTGAGGACATTAACTGTACCTAGTCTGAGGGCAGGAAGACAGAACAGGGGCTGGAATCTCCTCCTTGGGATTAGTTCCCGGTACTAACCTTGCCTCTCTTTCCTGCAGATACGTATTTTTGTCAGTCACTCTACTGTACCCTATTCTGTGCAGAATAAGTTGAAGCCGGAACAAATGGAGCAGCTAAAGGTAATGCAGACTGAAGGCATGCTGTATGCCCACACCCAGACCCACCTCTTTTTCCTCACCCCAATTTCCCCATCACCACCACGACTGCTTCAGAGCTGCCATTTCCATCTTTGCTTTTGCAGCTGACCATGAACAAACGATATGATGTCTTCCAGCAAGCTCTTGACCTCCAGAGCTTCCGCTTTGAACAAGGTATGGCTGACAGCATTAATTCCAAGGCAGGTGACGGCAGAGGAGTATGCATGGGAGGGAGACTTAGGGATGGTAACTTGGGGAAGGGGCTGGTGCTGGTGCTGGTGCTGGTGCTGGTCTAGCTGGTCCATCTCAGCCTTCTGATTCCCTTCTCTTGACTTCCTGAAGACTTGGTGGACCATGATATTGACATGATCCTGAATCGAAGAAACTGCATGGATGCCACCATAAAGATCATCGAGGAGAATTTCCCTGAGGTGAGGCCTTAGGCCCAGTGCCGGTATTTAGGTAAAGGGCTTGAAAGGATGAGATGCAGGGTAGATTTGTCTCTGAAGCCCTAGATGGTAACCATCACTCTAACTCTTCTTCTCAAAAGCTGTTGTCCTTGAACTTGCGCAGCAACAAATTATACCAGCTGGATGGCCTGTCTGACATTATACAGAAGGCCCCCAAAGTCAAGATCCTGAACCTGTCCGACAATGAGGTGAGAAGTGGGAGCCAGATCTAATTTGGGTTGAGGGTGGGTGACAGTGCTCATCAGGGTGATGACAAGAGGCAGGGAGGTGCCTGTAGGTGAGGGTGAGGGCTGGGGTGCAGGGGCTCAAATGTGTCTCTTTCCCTGGGACTGCTCTCCCTCATTCCTCCCCATTTTCTCAGCTGAAGTCAGCTTGGGAGTTGAACAAGATAAGAGAGCTGAAGCTCGAAGAGCTGTGGCTAGAAGGAAACCCATTGCGCAACAACTTCTCAAACGAGTCTACCTATGTGAGGTCAGTGGTAACCACTGTCAACACTTCTGATGGCCTTCACACCCTGGCAGCCTGAGCTGCCCCTGACAGTGCCCATCTGCAGGAGGCTGCAGCCCCGGTCCTCTGGGAGGACCACGTGCCCTGTCCTCTCCTCTCTCTGTCTCTGACCTGTGCTTAGAGTTCTCCCTGCCTTCCTCTGGCCTGCTCACTGCTCCCTGGGGGCTCGGGCTTGTTTCCTGCCTCTCTGCACACAGCCGTCTCTGGCATGGCCTCTGCTAAATGTGCTCCAGGAAGTAGGACTCCCCCTTCCTCTCCAGGACCAGAGGTATCCAGACTGTGCCCTGCTCCCCCACTGGGGCTGCCTTGAGCCAGATCCTGGTGCCCGGGGCTGTGAAGGCTCCTCCTGATCAGGGCCTTCTGCTGAGACAGGCCTTCCTGCCTCTGAGCTGAGATGGGGCTTCCCTCCCTGTCCTGTGGTGGGCACTCTCTCCCTTGCTCCGAAAGGGTCCCCCAACCTGCCCGCGCCTAT